CCCCAAAACCCCAAAACCCCAAAACCCCAAAACCCCAAAACCCCAAAACCCCATATTCAAAATTATCTATTGAATTTACAGTCTTTACGAACTCTCTCTCATGGTTTTGAAATAATCTATCTCTTCTAAGAAAAGATCTCTCAATCTATCTCTATCCAACATTTCTGCTTCAAAGTCGAACTCGACTGGCTTCTCGGCAACAGTCTCGAGATCTTTCTTCCTAACATCTGCTAAGAACGGGTGCTCTAATCACTCGTCAATGCTTATCCTGTAGTAAGGGTTGAATTGCAAGAATTTGTCCAGAAGGTCCAGAGCCTCGTCCCCTCCGCCTTTGTAAATCCCGTGGAAGTCGACCCTCTCGCACTCAGGAAACGCGTCCAGGTACTCGATGGCCTTCTGGTCGGTGACGAAGCTCCTGTCGTCTTCGCTCGGAGTTCCCAGTTTCTGGAATATGATGTTCAACTGGTCTGTGCTAGAAAACGGAAAGCCTTTTCTCTTCTCAGTCAGCTTGTTGTTTGGCGACAACGGAAAGCATGACTTGCCTGGGAACAGCGGCTTCCTGTCCAGGTAAGTCGGAGCGTTCTCTTTCATCATGCCGAGCAGTTCACCGAAGATGCACCCAACAGACCAGATGTCGATAGGGGGTCCGTAGTCTTTCTCGAGCAAAATGAGTTCTGGAGCCCTGTACCACCTGGTGACGACATGGCCAGTGAGTTCTCTCTTCATGTTCTTTCTTTTGTCTTTGGTTCTGACAAGTCGCTGTCTGATTTCTTTCTTGTCGATTTCTTTCTTTTCCTCTTTCTTTTCTTCTTCTTTGCTGTCAGTCATTTCTGAATCTTTGGTTCCGATGTCTGCTGGCTCTCAGTCTTTGAGTTTGAACTCTTCGTCATCGCCACCAGTGTAGCTGATTTCTTTTTCATCTTTCTTCTTTTCTTCGATTTTCCAGGATGAAGTTTCTACTCCAGTAGTGCTCCTTGCAAGCCCGAAGTCACAGACTTTGATCGTGCAGTCTTCGTTGATCAGCACATTTGCTGGCTTCAAGTCTCTGTGTAGGCAGCCTGCAGAGTGGATGTACTTGACGGCGCACAGAAGGTTGTATGTCACAGTCTTAATGTGCAGGATTTGCAAATGGATTGCAGATTTGACCACCTTTTTAAGATCAGACTCAGCATACTCAATTACAATGTAGAGGGAATCAAACTCATCCCGGTCTTTGGGCTCGATGATGTCGAAAAGCTTCACAACGAATGGGTGATCCATGCACCTCAAGAGCTTGACTTCTCTCAAGATCCTTTTACAGTCGGTCTCATCTTCGAAAACGCCTTCCATTTTATTTAATTGCAACTTTAGTTTTGGTTGGTTTGTGGATAGCCATGGCTACACTGCCATAGCTGCCGCTTCCGAGTAACTTTTGTCATTCGTAGTCTTTACCGACTTCCCAGTCAGTGAACTTGTGAGCCTTACTCTTCTCTTTTGGCATTTTTATTCTAAATTATTATTATATAAGAAACACTTCATGAATTAGGGGTTTTGGGGTTTTGGGGTTTTGGGGTTTTGGGGTTTTGGGG